TAATAATCTTAGAAAAATATTCATCAGCATAATATATTAAACAAGTTTTCAGACTTTTCCAAGTTCTAATGGCTAAGAGTACTGCTATGATACTTGTCACAAGAAATCTTTGTAGAAATTTTAAAATATGCTTATTTTTATTACCTTAAAAATCCTTAGGTTTTGTTTGTATTCATAATGCCAAGTTCAACAATCATGAAGAAGGATTTTTTTTTAAGTAAATTAACGTAGGGCTCCAAATGTAGATAGGCTGATAGCTCACTCTGGTCCAGAATTTCCTTTTTCTGTCAACTCATTAGCTACCCACATGGGCACACATGTTATTCACAAAGCTGAAAATGCAGTGTTAAAGTACTTAAAAACCCAAGCACAGAGAATAAATATATTATGCCTCCATGACCTGCAATGCCAAGAAGAGCTCAGTGTCAGCTCTTATTTAAGCTTTCACCTTTCACCTTTCAGAATGGGGACCTAAGACCCCGCTCATTTAGCTATCAACCATCCCTCTGTAGCCACCATAGCATGGACTGACCCATCCTACAATGTTACAGTTATGAATACTCAAAGATAAAGAAAAAATATTACCAATGAATCATTTATATATAAATAAAAAAGGGAGAGAGTCTTAACTTGGTAATTTGGACAAAAGAATAAAAATTATGAAACATATTGATTAGTAAGTCAGAAAAGCTTGTGGTTCTTGATATATTTAAATCAGTATTTCAATTCTAAAATCAGGGGTTCAAATACCACTAGTTTCATAATAATTCTTTGAATAAAGCTACTTATGCAGTCTTAAATTAGTTTTTAATTAAGACACATTTCTGGGCATGGCGCAAATAAATTAAACAGAATTACTGGGATCATCCAGTACTTCTGTACAAATGGGTGTGTTTATAGAGAGAGAGAGATCAAAAAGAAAACAGAACTATCACCTTACAAATCTCATCAAATATGCTTCCGAGCGTAACATTGTACACACATGAAAAGATAAACTGAAATTTTAAAATACTTACTAGCAACATTGTGAAATGTTAGACTCATTTCATTTATTGCCTTGCTATCTGTTTCTGTCCTGGCTAACTTTATCATTTTTATGCAAAACATAGATTACTCCTCACTTATTAAGGAATTAAGCGAGCCTGCTTATTAAAATTAGCTAAACAACTCATAATCTAAAAGACCCACAGCAACGCATGGTAATGAGCTCCTTTGGGGTGGGAGCAGGATGAGTATTACTCACTCTCCATTACTAATGCTAATTAATGCAAAAACTATGTAATATGCCATTTAAGGTAATACCTAAATTTGCTGCTTGAAAATGGTTAATTTTTTCAACATGATATAGGGATTACCACAAATGGTATCATTATTTTTAATTACCCAATAATTATAGATTGAATCCACCAAATGCCTGTCTGCCACAAGATAATACAATTACTTAATTTAAAAACAAATGATTTTGACAGGAGTCTAAAATTAGATAAAAGTTTATGGCATCTGAAAATGAATCCTAAGACATTATTTTAATACTGATGAATAATTTTCAGTCTACAATTATGTTACATATTTTATGTCATAAGACCTAGATGAAAAAAGTCCTACCTTATAATTTGAGTACGTAAAATAATAGCATGCAATTTTAGCATGGATTGTTACCACGTATTCATTTGATATCACAGAAGCACAGAGAATTGCTTAAGTAGCATGATTATAGGGATAATACTTACAAAAATGGTACAAAATTTGTGCCAAGTACGCTGAGTAACAGTACCTCAAAGGGGATACGTCAGTGGAGGAAACAGACAGAAGGCAATGAAGCCACAGAGTTTCTGGTATGAGTGACAATGAAAATGACATAGAGGACAGAGGAGGCATCACAGCCTCGGAAGGGAAGATGATGAGGGTTTAACGAGACTTTAATGGGTTCACCTAGAAATAACTACCAGATATAACACTCTATGTAAAGGGAGAGATGTATTTTCAATTCCAAAAAAAAAAAAAAACTGAGCTAGAACAAAGTACAGTTAAAGAAAAAGAAAACAAAACAACAAACAAACACCAAAATTTTTTTTAAAAAGCAGAAAAATTGCTTGGTTTTAAATTAAAAGCTGCCCACTTCATTGATCTTTTTCTTTATAAAGCTATAACTCACAGAAATTTTCGTGTAACTCCTACACACTGACATCATAATTTCTACTGGTCTGAAATCTGAGCCACTGTCCAGCAGAAAAAGACCCGTGTCCTTTCCCACACCTCCGCATTTTTCACATCACCCTGCCAGAGAACAAACAGCTCTGACCCCTTTCCACATGAAGGGTGCAGATAAATCCTGCCCACATTCCTCTTCCATTATCTCCTGACAAAGACCTTTTTCTAGCTATTTTAGGAAATCAAACCTGTCC